TTGTAGAACCGTCAACGCTTATTTTGGAGGAGCCCAGAAACTGATTTCAGCTGTGCAGATTGTGTGGGTGATGTGTCCGGTATATTTCTACTACGAAGAAATGGAGTACAGTGGAACGAACCTGTTCCAACCTCATCCCGAGAATTTCGCGCCAATACTGGTTGTGGAATGCATTAACATCCTCGTCTCCATCAAGTGCTATAATCTGGCGCAGAAGGTGGAAGATAATATCATGTATTACTGGTATTACCGGACAGCCGCAAATAGCAAGCCATGCTCGTTTCCATCGCGTAAAGAGATTGCGAAGCTTCTGTTGGATGCGGAAATCAGAATTATGGAGTCAGACGACGCAATCATTTTGTAGCGCAGCTTTTAGTAAAGCCAATGGATTTCATGTTATTCGGTTAACAGATTTATATTAGACGAGTGGTAAGCGGTCGGCATTCACCAACCGCGAGCATGGGGTTGAATTTTTTGCGAGGTATTTTATGATGAAAAGATTACATAGTTTTCACAATGATTGAATTCTTAGTAATTAAAAAGTAGTTTTTTTTATTCAATATTTTGTTTTAATTTTTTTATGAATTTTTTTCTACTTAAAGGTGTTTTTTATGTTTACCGTTTTCTACTTTTCTTCTTATTTTTTTAACATTTTCCAAAATTAGTGTTTCAGCACTTATACCGTTGCTATCAAATTCTTTTTAACTAATAAACTAAGGCTGTTTTACGATATGCTAACTCGTTTTCCGAATAGTACTGTTAAATGCTAAATAACTATTCCCAGCTGCTAATATATGCAGCACTGCTGCGCTACTTCAGCTGCCGAAATTTCCGGAAAGCAAGGTCCGACCATATATTATTTGTACTTCCGCTGCCATACCGCCTGTTCCGTCTGGCTGTGACCATTTTACCGTTTTTTTATGATTCCTAATTGCTCAGGTCAACCATCCTAACCTGGAATTGTCGCACTTAACTGACTGATTTGACTCTCTTTTCGCTGATACTCCAGTTACTGTCCCTTAACTGCTGTTATTGATTTGTACACTGTTGTGAAAGGGTATTTCACCATCGCACGAATGCATCAAACTCAGTGCATATTACTGTTATACGTAATTTGTTATTATACCGGCAACTAGTTGCTTTTATTATGCAACCCGCGCGCTTGGAAAATGTAAAAAAATTCAAAATAATAAAGAAATGGATACGTGAGCTTGGCACTCCGCACGAAAGTGATAACCGGTCTACTCTGTTGTGGTGTATGAGTGTACGTCCGATACGTACGTACAGGATATCTCGAGATTCTTTGCCGTTGTATTCCTAGCAACGTTCTGATGTACTGTTTGCAGTTGCTGGTATTAAATTTTGTGTTCAGTTGCGGTTTGTTGACTGACGTACTCCCCGATACATACAGAGAAGTACTTGAGTACTACGTACAGACTGTACCTTCACATACCTACACTACATCAGATTCTGTGAACGTATACCCTGTAACAGGTCACCGCTATAGTCATTGCCCACTAATAAAGCTGTGAAAGACCACTTCCGCCAATGAAAATAAGTACAAAAATAAAAATAAGGAAAATGGCTGGCTTTCTTAAAATTTAAATATGGATTAGGTTTTTGCAAAAAGGGAACCCAGTAGAAAACGGCACCGCGACATTTCGCCGCGGACAACTAGTCGCAGGACTTTTGGTCCCAGACATTTCACCGCAAGGCCATCTCGTCTCGCGACGTTTCTACGCAGGACATTTCGTCGGTAGGACTTTACGCCGCGAGACTTTCCGTCGAATAGCCGTTTCGACGCAAGGAAATTTCGTCGCAAGGACATCTTGACTAAGCGACATTTCGCCTACCAGATAAATGATTTACAAAGCTAACTAAAATAGTCAGAAGAGTGGAAAACGGAAACCAAAACCAAACGAACAACCTAAGAAAACCTAAGAATCCTAAGTAACCTAAGAAATCTAAATAATTTAAGAAACCTAGAAACCTAAGAAACCTAAGAAATTAAAGAAACCTAAGAAATCAAAGAAATCAAAGAAACCTAATAAACCCAAGAAACCTAAGAAAACCTAAGGAAAACCTTAGCACAAATGAGACGACCTAAGTCTGAGAAAATATTAAGAAACTTAAGAAAAACTAAGAACATGCCTTAAACATGTCCTTAAACATGCCTTAAACATGCCTTAAACATGTCCGGCGACGAAATGTCTTCGCGGCGAAAAGTCGCGCGTCGAATCTGAGTGCGGCGAAATGTCACACTCCCAATTGTCCGGGTGCGGTAGAAAACAGAGCCGGTACCGATTCAGTGCGCTAAGGCACTGCTTGACCCGATTATAAACACATTACGAACCGATACATATCACAGTGGCTCTTCTTCAAAAAATTCTTGTTATTGACGTACCGTAGCCGCTAGAGGAAATGGCACCATTTTTAGATTAGGCCGCTGCCTGCCCCTGCCGGACAGCGAACACGTTACAGCAGCGTGCGCGCTGTTTTCCGTACACCGGACTTTATGGTGCCCTTTCATCTAGCGGCTACAGTACTGCTTTAGTCCTACGTTGTTAATTAATAGTAGCAACTGCTGTTTTTGTTCATATCATTCGGAAGCAGTTCTTTATACTGTTTTATGGCTGCAAGTTAAGGCCGTGAAGAGATGGCATTTTCATTGTTGCGGTCGTGTTCGGATACAATGGTTGTGGCCCATAAGCAAATGCCTCCGAAGTACCGAGACGCATTGCGTTCAGTAACAAGAATGTCAATAAAAATACATCGTCAACTTTGCGTGAAACTTTTTTTTATTCCGCAATCCCGAACAATGTAAACTACTACAGCCCAAGATACGAAATTCCAGGATGCCGGTCAAGCAACATTTCCGGCCGTCTATATAGAACGAACGTCACGCTGATACGCCAAACCCGTGACAGATGGGCAGTTGTAATGGGGAGACTTTTCTAAACTTAGAAAACAGTGAGTCGCAGATGCTGCAGCGCCGCCATTTAAGCCTTTTTGCAGGCCTCTTCTCCATCTGTGAAGTCGATATGGTGTGACCTCCTGGCCATTTCTCGACACAAGGCAATCTAATCAAAAAGTTTCCGTTCTGACAAACATAAGTTTCGTTGACTTATTGGTCTGCATGTTCTCAACTATTCTAGCAAAAGCGAGAAAATATTTTAAAAACTGAAGCAGTTTTTTTCTGACTGTCATTTCCCTTTTTGTAGCTTCACCCTGTTGTTTGACGCTTAAATTGGACCTCTGTAGCAGAGCTGACGGAATCAAACTCAAAATTATTAAAAATTATTTTAAAAATGAATTTAATATTTGGGGCAACATGGTTTAATTACTGGCGATTTACCCTGCCGCAGCGCCCTGGGACGGAAGAAGTCCGGTACCATAAGGTAGTCAGGAAGTCAAATAATACGTATTACGTCGCTCTCCTGATGCTTAAAGCAGCGCGACTTTAAGAAGCTCCGTTTTCTGCAATAGTAATAAGAACCTGAATACGGGATACAAAAATCAGGCAAACAAGATAAAAATTAAGCGCAAGAAAATTACGTAACAGAATCCTTATGAAAAATTTGCAACGTATTCTTAAACTGTGCCGCGGTGCCGTGACTACGGTATTACCTAGCTAATCCAATGAACTGAACCGATGACTTATTTGGTAGATCTCCAACACTCTGTGCATTCGTCCCATGATAATAACGTGGCACAACGCCTAAACAGACTGAACAAACAAACGTTCGCATGCTATTTTGGGTATGGACCACGATTATGGCGTTGACTGTGTGTAATATGAGAAACGTTGCTGCTGACGGGGAAGGTCTCTTAACGTCGATGCTTTAGTCGCGATTCAAGTTGGCATATTTTTATACAGTGATACGACTGCGAACCGTAGCGACGTCACGACGTTTGCTGGATTCATCGTATTTAAATGAATGGATTTACTGAAATACCAAAGCTCACAACGACAGCACCTCTGCATGAATACTGAAAGTACGGAATGTAGCAGCATACGCTACGCACAGTGATACTGCAGCGTGTGCCACAAGACATGTTATGAGATAAGTGCCTTTGCGTTCTAGATGGTTCTGACAGCGGGTTATGTGACCAGTGAGTATGGATGTTTATTCAGTTGTAGGTGTGTGGTGTCTGTGTTTAAGTTTATGGTATGTCATCAAGGGATAAGTACGGGGCCAGGTAGCCACTAGCCACTACTAAAAATGTTGACCAGCCGTGCATTAGCGTAACCGCACCGCTACATTCTGCTGCGGACCATTGGCACAAGACACAGTTTCTCTGGACTGGACCGCTAAGTAAGCTATCTTTCAACGTAATGCTTTCGGCAAAACGTCATTCAACGATATCATAAAACAGCAAAATTGTCATTCAACTAATTATTCAGTGAGCAAATGGGAGGAATTAGAAATATGTCATCTAGCAAACTATCAACATCCGGAGCGAAGAAGATCAAGGAAATGACTAGTACCCGCTCTAGTCACCCTTGTCACGACGTTTTTGGGTCGCATTTGATTTCCTGCTGCCTTTGCTGAACATATACGGAAGTGAACCCAGAAATTAAATTTACTTCCTCATCATTTATTTCCGATTTATCCTGGTAAGTGGAGCCCGTGACTGACTGTGCTTATTAGAATTGCCTAGTGGCAGAATATATGCAGCTACTCGATCCATCAGCGCACGCTTCCTACACTGTCTTTTGTAAGACGTGAAATGTGTCCCTGGGGTAAATCATGCCTGGTTGTGCAAAGTTTTCCAACGAGCGATATGCCTTTCATTCGTATACGCTGAATTTTAAACAGTCATCACAAAACGGGTAGCATTTATAGAATTATTTACCAGTTACTGCTGACACTGAGTGACTGATTGGCACCAGGAGACAACTAGCGGTTAACCCGGAACTTCGACGCGGCAGTAAGCATCGGTATATAAGGAGATGCAGCTGCGTGCGAGTACCATTAATTGATATCACATTAATTTGGCAGAATTACTGATCATTTTATTTCCGTCTTTGCCGAGCTCAGTTGTATACAATGAAGTCAGCCGCTGCTATCATCACGCTGTGGGCCACCGTCACGCTGCTACTCCATTACAGCGGAGCGGAGTCTGGCAACCCCGGGGTCGAATTTGGGCTCAACAAAATCAACACGGGAAACGGCATAGTCAAATCTGGGAGTGACGCCGACAGGCCGACACGGAAAAAGCGGTAAGGCATGTTTATGAATTTAAAAAAATAGCGACTTGCGGCCCTACAGATACGTTAAACTTTGAAGCACGTTTTATTGGACTGAGCTCCTCCGAAATTAGCCGGTTAGCATAATTCTGAAACACTTTAATTTCACGCAGTTAAAGATTTTATCTGCTTCGGTTACAATATTGTCGTTGAAACCATACAATGTCATGAATCAAGGGATCATGTGTTCTGGCAATTGTGTTCTGGCATACGCAACTGTACTTATCTCCGCATAGAACAGCGACATACAGATCTGTACAATGCGAGTAGAGAAAAACGCAACGGGCTTCGAGAATGCACTAATTGCGAAGGCGGCAAAAACTGGTTTTTAAACGTGAACTGCAAGACAGCAGAAACAGACAAGTGCTTTTTCGACTGCACAGGTGTATGTCTGGACACATACAAATACAAGATACGAAAACTAAAATTTTGTACAGCCGATTCAGATATTTATTACTCCGCGGTGAAAACAAAAGGGGCGGCTTGTACACACTCGTACAAAGATTGAGAATGCTTTGTTAAATTCTGTGCGCTCACGTACAATCCATTCATTATTCACTTTTGAAATCCGTATGCAGCGGTAGTACAGCCAGTACAAAGCGCATACAACAACGCTTACTACGGCAGGTTCGAATTAAAAAGCATATCCAATCGACTATACTTCAAAATTTTGTGCTTGTTAATTTTGTCAACACACGCATACTTCCACAGTCACGCAAATGGTTTAATACCGTGTTTTAATATGGAATGTTCCGTTCGGAAGTACATGTATCTCGTTATATGTAGAGCGCCAACGGTTTTTTAGTCCACATGGAAAAATCTAGGGTTGAAATTCACGAGGCTTAGATCCATTTGTGAAAAAGAAGTGAAATGAAAGTGAAATGAAATGAAATGTGAAATAAAAAATTTAATTTAAACTGATTATTTGGCTTTTCTCAGAGTTGTAAATATCCGAAGCAGTTAAAAAATTAATATTGCAACTGTACACTACTAGTAGAAGTTTAACTTTCAAAAAAATTCGTTGTACGAGGTAAGTGGATTGCTAAATTTATTTTTCAGTACAGACTATACAGTAAATGCATAAAGATTTTGCAGTTTGCTTTTATTAGCAGAAGTAAATGGTAATCGGTATATAAGAACAAGGCTTACAATAAAAATGTCCATTTCTATTCAAGAAAACAACGCAGTAGGGTACTACGGCACGGAATTTTCTTCGAGGTATTGTACATACTAGTCGTATTTGGGCGCGCGGCGCGCCCAAATACGACTGTCGAATAAATCATTATCAAGTTATCATCTCGTATGTCAGGTGCTCTTATAACTATATAGGCGCGGAAGTTTGAGTGACATAGAATGTGACCAAGAAAAGGTGCAGCGAATTTTGGGTGTACAGGTTTAGCGAAGACGTCGACGGCGAACGATTTTAAAACCGTGTGAAATCTGTGGTGCAGCAGAAACAGACACACACATACTGAACGGCGCAAGCCTGTGTTTGGGAGTTTGCGTGGATACGCGGGAGTTTAAGATGAAGCGCAGCTATCGCCAAACATAGTGCTGAACACCAATTGCGCTAGTGGTTTGACTTAACCGTCAACCGTGGATGGTAACCAACATTCGTAACCTTCTACCGTGGACGGTTGAAGCGTGGCAGTGTTGGTTTGGTTGTTGCACACTGCAGCCGACCACGGTTGATGGTAGCGCATGTTGGTAAGGGCTAACATCTGTGGTTCCCATTTTTTGCAGTTCCTTGGATACCAACGTCCTAAAAAGATTTTTGTGTTCCGATCCGTTAATGACTTCTGGCTGTAGCAGGTGTGAGAAATCATGCGCCAACCCAAACCCGTCGCCGTTATGCGCTTCTAACTGCGACTCCACCTGCATCTGCAAACCAGGTCTATACCGTACTTTCGTTCCCTCGCCGACATGCGCGCCTCAAAATGGACCCCTGCTAAACAACTGTAAAGGCAACCCCCAACTGCGTAAAGGCTAAACGGAACTGCGTAAAGGCTGAACATAGGCAAGGCCAGATGGCCGCGGCTACGATATTTTCTGCGATTGGTTGATGTAGAGATTATGCGCTGATTATATATAACTTTCCTGACGGTGTTGCGTACCGTAAGTGGTTGCTTTGAATAGAATTGGTAATTTCAACTGACGGTATTAAAATACCATTTTTGTACATGCTGCGCAAACATATTGGTGCTCTTTTGGGATGGCAGACTGTTTTTCGTTAAATTTTGTGCAGTATTACAGAATTTCCCCGTAATCAAGCAGCCATGTCATGGCACCATGTGCCAGCACAACTGCATGATGTGGTATTTTACGCTTTATTCACCTTTTGTATAACGTACAATTAAACACTTCAAAACATCGCAAAAGTTTTTTACAACATTAAGATTTCATTAAACTTTTCCGCTCCTTCCATCGTCCCCATAACTGATGCCGCATTTCCCCGCTGTATCTCCAGCGACAATCTTTGACTTAAAAACTCATGGGAGCGCGCTTCGCCTGTGTGTTGTTTCAGTCGCTTACCGAGTTCTTTAATAATCGCAATGGCCGACGGTTCCCATGGTCCCATTGTTTCGAGGGCGATTGGCGCAAAAATGTATCTGCCACTCAAATACGAATATAATCTGGACTTTTTTTCTTCTGCCTCTATTGCAATCGCACCTGCGTTGGCTGCTGATGAGTTAACGTGTGAAGGCGCGACAGTGTCCACGCAAGTAACGTCCCAAGCTAAACACATCCCTCTCTGCCAGGCGAAGGTTGCGCAGCCGTCGGGTCGCCGTTCGGACGTGTGCGACGTGCCACGTGGCTCCAACTTCGCCGGAATCCCAGCCGAGACACAAGATCGACAGAATACTTACCCACATACTTCTGATTCGAAGTCAGAAGTATGTAGTATTGTTTACTGGTTTGTATTGCTACCTAATGCAGTTGATTTGAAAATTATTTAAGAGCACGACGTTCCACGTCGTGACACAAGCATTCCACAAATAATGAGTGGTTTGTTGTAGCTCGAGTATGAATATAATGGGAAATCAGGAAATCTTCGCGACAGCGCGACAGGAAATCTTTGGGAAATCAGCGCGACAGGAAATCTTCGGGAAATCAGCGCGAAAGGAAATCGTCCCAACCCGGTAGTGGAATAATAGTTCAGGTAGCCTTTCACAGGCTTCGGTATATCTGGCAACTTATTGCGAAGGCGCTAGTCGTGCGGGCCGTGCATGCGTCTATTATTAAGGACGGGGGCACGAAAGCTTCGAAGTTAAAAGCTATGAGATACATACTGTGCTAATTCTGGAATATACTTTCTTAAATTCTTTTATTTCAGTTTTACGCACGCAGGAGTGAGAAATTTTTTACCGGCAAGGGAAAACTTAGGAGGTGGATATTTCTTTATTGGAGCCGTAGCATAATCGTGCGCTAAATGCGCTCTAATGGTGCAAAAGTTATAAAAGTGCTGAGTTTATTGCACGGCTATGATAATTCGTTCTATTCCGTCATTTTTCAACAGCAAGGGTTATCTAAATACCGCATTATACAGTATTTAGGCTCGCATTACCTCTTAAATGGAGCAATGTAGCGTATCATTATAATCATAACGCTGGTTATTACGGACTCCCTAATAACCACTGTTATGATTTAATCGCCGACCGCATAACTGATGTACAGATAGGTACTATTGTGGTCATTCGGGCAGTGCACAATGCTGGGTAGGTATGTATTGATTTTTCTGCAGCCTTGTACCAGCGTTTAGATACATCCTTCACTAGTAAGTCAATGCATCACCAAAGCAAATTTTGTCTGATGTGGCACAAAGGAGGCGTGTTTCTCCTGCTTCCTCTTCGGGATATACCGTGATTATCGAATTTGCCGCACTGGGCGGCAAATAGTTCGAATGCCAAGGAGCAGGTGCGCTTATTTCGGGGAGGTGCGCTTATTTCGGGGGGTGCCCTTATTTTTCAAACAATAAATTTTAGAAGGGGCCGTTATTTTTCAAACAATAAATTCCAGGAATTATTTTTATTTTAGAAGCGAAACAATAGCGCATCCAGCTGTACCGAAACTGAGCGCACTAGTTACCGGTATATGGCTAGCTCGCAAATGGTAGTAATCGTTTAAAAATTTAGCGTATAATTAACTTTAGCGTATAAAATCTCAAACAAAAATTACGATCTAATTACCGGTTTATTAGACTTAACATTTAATTACGGCACCGGGTGCCGTAATTTCGGGGGGTGCCATTATTTTTCGAACATGATTGCGGCGGTGCGCTTAATACGGGGGGTGCGCTTGTTTCGGGGGGTGCCACAAATTCGATAATTACGGTAATATTAGGTTCACTAGTACTACTATATTGGTCTTGATTGCAGGTTGATCTTCCTGGTCGCGGAACTTCCCGGATGATCGCGTCAAACGCATCGAATGCAGACCAGAAAAGCACAAACAGTTTTTACGGCAGCGATTCAGAGATGAAGTTCAATATAGCAGTCCTGCCTGTATTATCAGCATAATCGTATCTCACCAAGAATTTGAAGCGCTGTTTTTTGATTTTTTTCGAACTATACTTGCGTATAAGCGTGCAAGTATGACTTCGTCAATATAATAATTATGGTCTCTTTACCTTTATGTATTTGCCAGATATTACCGTATCGATTTTTTACGTGTATTTACCATTCTGATTCCCCGGGATTAATACTACCCATCACTTAACAGCAAAATGAAAGAAGAGCCTGGAAATGACAAATCAGACGCTGGCATTCACAAAAGCGAAGACGTTGTCCGGCTGGTCGATCCAGAGAGTCTCCAGTTTGATAGTGACCTTACCCGAAAAATCCGCAAAGGTGCATGGTTGACTAACTGCTTCACTGTCGCCAGCCTGATTCTGTTCGCAGCCAGAGTCTACATAATCATCGCAACTCCTGTGTTGAACAGAGATGATGATTTGGAATACAGTATGGTATGCGGAATGTGGAATTTTTGCGGAATAAGGTACGTTTCTCTGTTTTCCGGTGTGAAATGCTAACGCCAGCTGCTTTTGTGCATAAGCCCATAGATTTTAAATTTATGCATATTTCACACGGAATTCTGTAGTACGAGTGCATAAATAAGATTTCTATTGCAGACTGAGGAAGTGCGAATTATTCTGACGGATTCGATCATGATTTGATGCTAATTCCATCGACCAGCGTTTTCTTGTTCATCGTTGCGGCAGAAATGGCAGCGCTCTTGATTCTGGCTCGTGTTCGGGGTTTGTGCAGTGGTTTACAGTGGCCAACAGATTCACCCAAATTCACCATTGACATTGCAGCATTGTGCGATAGCTGTAGAAGCGTAAAGGCCTTTTTTGGAGGAGCCCAGATATTGATGTCAGTTGTGCAAATTGCGTGGGTGTTCTGTCCGGTATATTTCTTTTACGAAGAAATGGAGTACAGTGGAACGAACCTATTCCAACCACATCCCGAGAATTTCGCGCCAGTACTGCTTGTAGAGTGCATTACCATCCTCGTCTCGATCAAATGCTCTAATCTGGCGCAGAAGGTGGAAGATAATATCATGTATTACTGGTATTACCGGACAGCCGCAAATAGCAAGCCATGCTCGTTTCCATCGCGTAAAGAAATTGCGAAGCTTCTGTTGGATGAAGAAATCAGAATTATGGAGTCAGACGACACAATCATCTTGTAGCGCAGCTTTTAGTAAAGCCAGCGAATTTTCATGTTACTCGGTTACCAGATTTATATTAGACGAGTGGTAAGCGGCCGGCATTCACCAGCCGCGAGCATTGTGTGATTTTTTGCGAGGTATTTTATGATGAAAGGATTACATAGTTTTCACAATGAGTGAATTTTTAATAATTAAAAATGATTTTTTTTTATTTATTATTTTGTTTTCATTTTTTTATGAATTTTATTCTACTTAAAGGTTTTCTAAGTTTTCCAGTTTTCTACTTTTCTTCTTTTTTTTTTAACATTTTTTAACTTAGTGTTTCAGCACTTATACCGCTGCTATCGAATTCTTTTTAACTAATAAATTAAGGCTTCTATACGATATGCCAACTCGTTTTCCGAATAGTACTGTTAAATGCTAAATATGTAACTATTCCCAGCTGCGAATATATGCAGCACTGCTGCGCTACTTCAGCTGCCGAAATTTCCGGAAAGCAAGGTCCGACCATATATTATATCTGTACTTGCGCTGCCATACCGCCTGTTCCGTCTGGCTGTGACCATTTTACCGTTTTTTTATGATTCGGTTTACTTTGTTGTGGTGTACATGTATGTGTGTACGTCCGATACGTACGTACAGTATATCTCGAGATTCCTTGCCGTTGTATTCCTAGCAACGTTCTGATGTACTCTTTGCAGTTGCTGCTATTATTAATTTTGTGTTCAGTTGCGGTTTGTTGAGTTCCAGTAAAGATGCGTACTTGCCGATACATGCGCACTACGTACTTTCACTTACACAGATACACTACATCTGTGTACCTATACCATGTAACAGATCACCGGTGTGGTCATTGCCCACTAATAATGCAATGAATGATCACTTCCGCCAAAGCAAATACAGAAATAATAAGAAAAACAGCTGGCTTTCTTAAGATTTATATATGCACTAGGTTTTTCCAAAAAGGGAACCCAGTAGAAAACGGAGTCGGTAGCCGATTCAGTGCGCCAAGTCATTGCTTGATCTGATTACAAACACAATACGAACCGATGCGTATCACAAGGTTTCCTTTCCAAAAAATTCTTGTTTTTTTGACATACTGCTTCTCGGAGACGATGGCTGTGACTGAAAAACATTACAAAAAAGCCGCTTTCGAATGTTGTGAAACAGCAACTGAATCTGCAACCACTAACTAGTAAACGCGATATCAGCCACTTCCGTATGCTAAAAGATGGCTAAAGTTTTACCGTACCAAAGTGGCTAATATCGCATTTGTTAATAACTGGTAGCAATTGCTGTTTATTGTTTCTCGTTTCTCATCATCCGAATTAATTATTAATTTTTACAAGCTGTGGCCATAAAATAAAGGGCATGTTCATTGTGGGTGCCATTTTCAGAGATAATGGTTCTGGCCCATAACCATTATCGGGGAAAGATAAAGCATCAGTAATAAGAATGCCAATAAATATACTGCGTATGTGTACTGACTTCCCGCGAAACTTTTTGATTCCGCACAACCGTATAATGTTAACTGCATTCTACATGCCGAGCATCTCAGCAACTTCCTTGGGCTAATAGCCAGGTCCCCATGGGGTGCCATGGGTAGTGCAACGGTAAAGAATGTTTATCATGAGGCTGGTAATCAGCACGAAACAGGTAAAATCGTAGAAGCTGTTTGCAAATATAGCTATAAGCGCTATAGAGCTAAAAACATAAAGCGAATAGAGCTAAAAGACAAAACCTTTCCAGCAAGTGCACATCATGGTGCCAATACTGGCAGTACAAGTTAGAAATTGCCGTTTGGTTCAGTTTATAGGTATGACGCATGCGTCTTGGTAGTCGGCGGGCAGGTTATGGGTCAGGATAGACCTGAAGAGACTTGGCAGATGGCTATTAGCACCCCCCCCCCCAAACATCGGCGTCCGCAGACTTAGCTGAGCGGGCGTCGTTTCCATAGGCAGCCCCCCCCCCCCCCCGAATACACTGCTAGTCGGAGCCTTTGGGTGTTCTGGATTGTGCCCCATTAAGATGCCCAGCATGGTCAAAGGTCGCCGTGCAGTCCTGTACAAAACTGACAGCTTGCCGGGACCGGCGTCTGACTGATCCAGTCTTGTCGGAATTATTGGCAGCATTTGCTCCGTTGTCAAGTGCGGATGTCGGCCCATTTAGCAGGACCTTGGGTTTACTTGACTTCGTGCCAGGAACACCCTTTGGAGGGACATTGAGAACGTCGCCCAGCAGTTGCTCCATCTCGCTGCGCAGTTTTTCGCCTGCAACGAGGTTGTTTTAATCTGAACCCTGGTCGAGCATTCAACCGCATTTAAAACCAGCATCGGAAATATTACGATGACGCCGCGGTAGCTGTTTTATCGGACTGGTATAAGACCAGTTTACAGCATCGCCAAGTAACGTAAAGACGATCATAAGTTAGGAGAATGAGTGGTTGTGTCAATAATCTACAGCCTTACGAGTGTAAATAGCATTGAAGTTGGCAACAATCACCGGAATGGGAAGAGCAATGGCGATCAGTCCAGATATCGCGCAACAAGCGCCGACAATCTTCCCGAGAAGCCCTTTGGGCGTCACATCGCCATAGCCCACGGTTGTCACTGTTCAAAGAGAAGGGTTTTCAGAGTGAAGAATAAATAAACCGGTTTTTAACGGTTGACGGAATTTCGTGCGTGCGTCAACATAAGAAAATAAAATTTTCGTCAGCTGCTCTATTAAACACAAGGCGAAACTAACATTTTGCACTGTCAAAAACATAAAGTAAAATTTTATATTTAAACTGATCCGTTTTGAAATTAATTATTTGAACAAGCTTCTGTGAATATCTGGCAGCAGAATATGATGTGGCGTACTTGTAACAATCGTCCACCAGAATGACTCCGGTATACTGTTAAACTGCGTCTCCTTCATGCCGATCTCCGCATAGAATACCGAGCTGCTAAATAACACTACCGCCAACCCAAGGAACATGAGAAACAACCCCAACTCCCGCACTGACACCACGAACGTCTCGCCCAGCACCCGCAACCCGTGGGAATACCGCGACAACCGGATCAGCCGGAACATCCGCATCACGCGCAGCACCCGCAGAACCACCATGATCCCGGTTTTATACCGGCTGCAATTACTTCGCGCCACATGGAGACACGACACTGTCACCGCCACGTCGATGTAGTACGGGAGAATCGCTAATAAATCAATGATGTTCAGCGGTGCCCTTAAAAATTCCAGTTTTGACGGCGAGGAGAGTAACCGCAGGGCGAATTCCACGGTAAACCAGGCGATACAAACCGTTGCGATGATGAAGAACGGATCGGTAAACTGAACGTAATCATCCAGCGCCGTTAATTCCTCATCGGTGTCGTTGGCCTTTGTTCCGTTGGTCCCCGACGCCGACCGAAACTGTGGCATGGACTGTGCACATAAAATCACGACGGATAATAAAATCATGATGATATTAAATGCCTCGAAAGCTCGGGCACCTCGGGAGCTCCCGGCGTCCGTCAGGAACCGCCAGGTGGCGCGCAGAACCCGGTTTTTGGGCAACCGCACCGGAGGGTAGGGCTGAAAGCCTTCGTGGGCAGCGATCTGGAGGAGAGCCGGTTTATCCAGTTGGAAGAAGCGGCATTCAGCGATGAAGGCGGCCAGCGGGATGCGAGCCGGCCGGTGCAAAGTGCCGGTATGGTAGTATTGGATTATCCGAGAGAAGCATTTGGGGTCGCGTGGGAAGTAGTATTCGGCAGTGGATGGATCAAAGAAGAGTGCCAGTTGAAGTTGATCGCCGAGGAGGGTGTGCGGGTGTTTGTGGAGAAGAGCGGCCGGGATATCGTACTTTTTACCAGAGATATTCAGACGGATGCGGTCCGGGCGGGTGGGCAGGATATCCAGACCGATAACCGTTGTTTCCATACCGGAATACATTAGAATTTAAATTTATTCCGACAACAGTAACTTGCATGTAATAAATTGCCGCTGTGTAAGACTGATGTGGTTTTTTGCGGTATCGATTTGCAATTCTGGCGGCGCTATTGACTTGTGGAAGATTTGCTTCTCTCAGTTTGTCTTGGTGATTATTTTGGGACGTTGGGTCAACATGCACTGTCATTTTTTACTGCGCCTCGCAGCATATTTGATCCGTATCTAACCGGCGTCTAAGTAATGCCACTGCTCACGTGTGTATACGCACCATTTACGCGGTGCCGATCGGAGCATGTTGTAGGCGTCTTATGCCGGTAAAAATGGAAGTGTGTACAATTCAGTGTGCACAGATACAGTACCTACCTTCTACCTAGTGATGGCGACGGCAGATTTACCGAGTCGGTAAATAAATCAACAGCAGCAAAAAATTATTATGTACACATAATCATAATAAATTTTTATGAACATCCAACTGCAGATCAGCAAGAATTAGACAGGACAAGATAAATCGATGGTCTACGCGTACATACATATCGATTCCGTTAAACGTATTCAGAATCTATCACACTGAATTTAAACATTTACGGCTTCGTCGAAATTCCCACGAACACAACCAATTTGAAAATCAAACCATTAACAGCTTATTATCTTTATTAACCAAAAGCAAATAAAATGAAGTGTAACAAAAAAGCATGGCTTCAGAGGCCATCTACGAATTTTCTAATAAGTACTGCGCTCAGAAAGGATCATTACAGCAACAGTCATCGTTTCTTGCTTCGTGGCTGCTCCACGTGGTGCTTGCCCCGGATGAAGATGTGGTGTTCGGTTGGGGATTGCTTCCCGGACGTCCGGTAGTGGCAGCACTGCCACCTGGTTGCGTTGATATCCCGGTAGTTACGACGGAGCAGCGGCAGTGGGTCTCTCATGGGCGGTAGAGTGGCTCCTGGCTCATGGCGCCTGCTTGTTGGGTTAGGGTGTCAGAAAGTCAAAAGATACAGCGCAGTTGCAAGCGCAGATAACTGTCTTACCGAATCGTTGATTATGGCTATCAAGCGTGCCTCATTCACTTACTGTCCCGAAGCAGTAATCGGCAAAACAAGCGACAATCGGAACAATTATGTAAACGAAGATATTTTCAGCCATGCAAATTCGTATGACCCTAATTAAATCAAACGCAGTTGTTTAACATGAGTCTGGAGTGTGGACTGCTGTCGTGATAAGTGTGTTCTACTTCTAACGGCAACATTATATGTTACCGTTCCGTATAAAGTATAAACTGCCTTTCGCCGCCGGAGTTTTTCTGTGAGCCCGATGAACGTCAAAGCGCAACTGAAGAGGACTGTCTCCTGGAATTATGCCGAAGGAAAAATAATTCATTGAATTTCCCTCAGACAGCCTTACTAAACTTCGAGTGTATTGGTGGCATAATTTTTACCTGGAAAATATTTTTTTCCGTGTGGAGCATGCAGATGCTTTCAGATAACTTGGGCAGGCAGTTTTTAGAGAGCTGTAAAATTTAACTGTTTGTACTGGAGAGTTTGCTAGAAACGTTCATCCGAAGGAAGTAATTCCCAGACACCACTTGAACGGACCCTGGCATTCGACAGGTTGTATGTAGACTTCCATGAAAAAAGAATGCGCTGGAGCTGCCGAATGCCGATGCATGCATGTGACAATCGGTATATAAGGCAGGCACCCGTAGTCAAGGTTTATACTGCACCACTATCATTAACAGTACTCGTTAAAAAATGCGGATTTCTGCTATTGTTTATTGTTTTGCGGCATGTGTCGTTGCTTTTGCTGTTTCCACCGAGGCAGACGACGGTAAGGGAACTAGAGATTTTGCTTAATATTTATAGCAATATAATTTGTGATGATAAATAATTCAGTTCTTTTTGTGCAGTTTCTTCGTCTGGACAGTTACCATGCGTCGACCGCAAAGCGTGTTCTGATAACAACGACTGTGACACTAACTGCGCAGCCGACTGCAGTGGTGGACGTGCAAATGTGTGGGTCTCGATCCAAAAGATAAGAAGGTGAAAGGAACGTGCAAACGAGCGCCCCAGAGCGCAGCGGCAGACAACAACGGCCCTGTTAACAAATTTAACATGATACCGGTAGCCGACACAAAGACTCCAAAACATTCCGGTTATGCCGTTTCTCCTCGTGTCCCCGGGCATGCCCCCGCCCCTGCTCCTGCCTCGGTGATCCCGATCGTGAACGCTCCATCTAACGGCCGACCGCGCCCTCCTGGATTTCAGGTGCCCCCTCGCCCTGTGACGATAAACAAAGGCTAACCGACATGAACTAATTCTGCTATTTAATTGAAGAAGATTTCCTGTCGCAGTGCTTATGCTTTTCCTTGAAACCCTTAAGGCCCGCTTTATCATCGACATCATCATTATTAACAGTGGCTTCATCTTATTATTATTTCACTCTTCCCGTTTATTTTGATTCGCCATGTGCACGATACCCTGGCAAGGACCAAGGCAGTAATAACTTAATAAGGCATTAATTACATATTAAGTGGATGTTTGGTTTCCAGAAAATATTTTCTCAACATTCAACGAAAGTCGTAGTATTACAGTGACACTCTTCGTAATTCTTGCACAATTCTCGAGCAAGCTCGTTTTTTTCTGCCGTTTTGAGTGAGTGGCTACAGTGGAAAACAGTGCACTATTAGAAACTCTCACTAAGAACATTTGTTGCTGTCTATTTGCACCACGCCTACACGGTGCCGCGTGAATTTACCGCCGAAACAGCTAGGAACAGTTTTCGGTATGTATCCGAGTTAAAAGACTCACGCACTGCGGCCACGTATAAAGCAGCAGATGTACGAGTACCTATAACATAGTTATTGTGAATGTTTATAATTATTATAACTGCCACTCTGGCACAAACTCCCTGCAACGGGCCTTTGGACGTATGTATGTAGTGCAGTACACTGTACAATCATCGCATTCACCACAGTACACATGCTGAGGCTTGAACTGCTGCGTATAAAGAGTGGCGGTGACTGTAGGTCTGCAGGCCTTTCGTTGTAGTGCAGCGGCTCGCATGGTGTGGCTTAAATGTGTCCTTGTCGGTTTTCTACACCGCAAATAACTTAAACGGGAAGCCGATTTTGAAATTTTCAAAAAAAAACACACTTTCTTGAACCCGCCAGAACAAAATGCTGTGGGCAAAACAAATCAGGAGAGAAATAACTGAAGCTTGCCCACCTAATCAGTAAAGTTGAAATCAGCGCATACTCACCAAAATATGAGGGCCAATGTCAAAACGCCGGCAGAATTTTCTGCCGACCGAATTTCTGTGTGGTCAAAATGCCGGCCGAATTTCCTGCCGGCAGAATTTTTGTTGGGTTAAAACGCCGGCCGAATTTCCGGTGGTCAAAACGCCGGCAGAATTTTTTCAAAATTTTCAACTGTAAGTAAAAATACTAAAAAATATTACCTGCATCGAGGCATACTTGCCACGCGGTGTATAACAAAGGCTGGGACTCTACACATATACAATTACACAAGTATCTTTATCGGTAGATTTTCAGTTTCGTTGCCGCTGGCATCGTGCGTCTAGTAATCTTCCTCCATGTCGGATATGGATGCCAATCATGCCATTAAGCCGGAAGATACCAGTTATCCAAACGCATATTAACATAACATATGACCCATCGCGTCACTAACTGCTATGCGTATCCGTCCCAAAAAACGTTTTGATTATAATGCTATCAGCGCTTCGAATCCGATCGCAGCGGTTGCTGTGCTGCGCGACGAATAATGCGGAATTTAAATTAAAATTAATTGATCGATGAATTATTTAGTAATTAAATTCAAATATTACGTAACGGCCATGGGTGGGGGGGGGGTGGTCTATCAAAAGTGTTACACTTTGTTACATGGGGAAGGGGGTCCAGAAATTTTTGTTACGTGCGGGCCGACACCCCATAAAAAAACTAAAAAAATTAGTATACAGATATTTTAATTGTATTTTATAGAGGGGGGTGGTCGGCCTCTTCATTACGTATGCAGCTGGGGGGTAGAAAATTTTGTTATGTGGTGTTACAAGGGGTGGGGGGTGGTCAAAAATCGCAAAATCGCGTTACGTAAAATTTGAATGACGCCTTTACGAGAGTCAGCTGTGCCAGTCTACACTCAGAAGTTCTGACTTATCTCAGGTACGTTTCAAAAGGGATCAGACTAGATAGCACTTCGGTGTTATTGCCGCTGTGGCATTGTTGAACGCCTTGTTTGTCTCTTTTGCGCGGCTTTTGCTTTCTCTCCCGGTCTCTCGGGAGTTTCTATGCACGCTGTCCATGCAGCAGCACTAAAAGCGTGCCGATAAAGATCCTTATGTAACTGTTATGTAGAGTGCCCAGATCTTTGTTATACACCGCGTGGCAAGTTTACCTCGAGGCAGGTAATATATTTTAGTATTTGTATTATAACTAATTTAAAGTCGAAAATGTTGAAAAAATTCTGCCGGCGTTTTGACCCAACAAAAATTCTGCCGGCAGGAAATTCGGTCGGCATTTTGACCACACAGAAATTCGGTCGGCAGAAAATTCTGCCGGCGTTTTGACATTGGCCAAATATGGGCCTTATATCCTTATATCACTTTGTAGAATAAAATGTGTAGTATTTTAATAAATTTTTTATTTTCCGGTAGGTATTACTAATTTTGTGTACTAATCATCCAAACCAAGTACGGGAAAGCGTTCCGTGACGTCTATGCGCGCACATCAAAGATTGCCGCCCATCGCGCACCTGAGATACGAATCTTCTCTAACGTCGTGTAAGAAAGACCTATCCAGTTTAGTGGGGTACTATCTCCACTTGTCCGACCACGACACAATCGGATAGAGCGACTCTTATCTCAAACTGTTGGGAAGAAGTAGTAGGATGGTAGAAGTAGAAGTCGAAGATCAGGAACAAGTCAGGAACTGCTGGAACTCAGGAATCCCTGCTGTAAACACGAGAAATATGCAAGAAGAAGAAGAGTATACGTTACCTGACCTCACGCTAGATGGTAGCCGAAGCGTATGGGA